TCCGGGGTCGGGGCAGACGGTGCTGGGAGCGTCCCTGCCGCAGGGACCCGCCGCCGCCTGGAGGGGGCGACCCGCCGCCGCCCGGCTCCGGGCTCCTGGCCCCGAACCCTGGCGGAACCCCGGCCCAGCCTCGACCGGGCAGCCCGGCGCTCCCGACCTCCACCAGCAGCCACGGCGGCTGAAATGTTGGCTTCTCCGTGGAGCCAACAAAACCCAGTTTCACCACTCAAACAGGACAGCCCCAAAGCGGTACCCGACAGCCAGCCACCCTAGGGCAGCTCCCGAGCACCGGTCCCGGCGCCCGGCCCGCAGCCGGTGACCGCGGCGGGAGTCGGAGGCCAGGGCGCCAGGCGCGTCGGGCTTGGAGGGTCCCCGCTTTGTAGAGCTAGCCTTGGTGGCCCAGCTCCGCCGATGTGCCGGGGTGGGGGTGGGGTGGGGGTGCTGGGGCGAAAGCGGATGGCGCCTTTGTCACGAGGGTAAAAGGTAACGCCTGGTCCCCTCTGGGACTCTGCAGAGCTTTCTGGCCTCGGAGGACAGTCCGGGTCTACGGGTGAGGCCGGCAGCCCGCCCCTCTTTGTGTCCTTTGAGTCTGGTTCTTAAACTAGACGCCTAAGGAGGGTCTAATTCGGGGAAATCGTTACGCTGTTAAACCGTATCCCGTTCGCTGGAAACAATGAGGTGGGTGACTTTTTTCTAGACGCGCCGGTGGAGTCTTGTTTGCAGAGCCGGTGTTCCATTAGGTTCTGGTCCCCGGCGCTCCCTTTGTACCACCCTCAGGTGGCCGCGGCTACTGCACATATTTTTGAAATCGCTGAGTGGGAGTCCCCCTGGGAGGCCGTTTCCAGCTGGCCTCACAAAAGACACTGTGGAGCCCAGAGACAGAGTTGGTTTGGGGGTTTTCCGACAGATTGAATTCAGAACTACCGTGTGTTTCCTATTTAAATCAGGAGGAGACCAGAATGTTGACTCTGGGTCAGGTTTGTCATGGAACAGAATTGCAGGCCCAGCTAGGTCGTGTTAAAATCGGCATCTTCTGGCTTCTCAGTTTTCTGTGGCTGCCATACTTTTAAAGAATTTAGAGACTTTGGGCCTTGATGAAGCGCTATTCAAACATTCCCAAGCCCATGGCGTCAAGGAAGAAAACTCCATTGTAACTTGGGCTTTGCGAGGTGAGACCCCAGCAAGCTCCTCACCGCGGGAGCCCTTGGCTGCCTGGCTCAGAAAGTGATTTCTATAAACCAGGTAATTTCTAAAGCTTCATGCCCAATCCTCCACCCGCTCCCCTTCCCCTTTGTATTTATTTGTTCTACAATATTTTACACTTAGATACAAAAACGATGCTTTGATATATGACCCTCTGGCTTCCCCATTCCACACTTCTTGTCCCATTTGAGGCTCTATGTCTAAGACACAATACCACCTGAAGAAGTGAATGTTTTCCCCGGAGTTCTCCCATCTCTCTGGCGTCAACCTCAGCAGACATCTCAGCCATCAGAACATCACCTTTTTCTCCCCCCTCCCCCCCCAGCTGCTCCCTGGATCTCTCTGCTGCGGGGGGAGCACAGTGAGGAGCAGTTCTCTCGGTGGGATCCATGCCCTCATCCGATTTTCCTTGCTCACCTTTTCCTGGTCATCTCCATCTTTCCCACGAGCACCAGCTTGTCATCAAATCCAAGCTTAACTATTTCCACGAGAGATTCAGTCTATACTTCAAAGAGTTTAAATGATCATTTGCTAACAAATCAATAGGAAGTGGTAATAATTTTTCAAATCCAGGAATAACCAGTACTGTTTTGTTCTCCTGTGAGGTTATGAGTTTTTAAAGTGAGTTAATTAAGATTTAATGGTTTGTGGTCTAACACATAAATATGGGAAATGCATCAGCAGCATTATGTTTTGAGCCCTTAATAAACTTAAAGCAATTCCTGGATCTATACTCGGATTTCTTGATGGCCGCAATCCACTTTTTGCAGGTTTCTCTCCCCTCCCACCTTTCATTGCTGGTAGTGGGTCTTTCAAACAATTGTCATCTTTTAATCCTCCTTCGGAATGATCCATGGAATACTGAAGCTAGAATGTAGGGGCTACATCTTGGATGATCTAGTTCAGCCCCGACATTTTAAAGATTTAGGAAAGTGCTAGAGGTTGAGACCACGCGCTCTGGAAGTAGCCACCCTGTGTGTGAAGTTTGCCTCTGCTGCTTATTAACACCGAGACCTTGACCCCTCTAGGAAATTATTTAAACATAGATTATTTTATAATCAGGAAAATGTAACAATCACAGCTGATTACTCCAGATTATCTCACCTTTGCTCATTTCTTCCTCTGTAATTTAGGAAATAATGGCCTTTCAGTCTGGAGTCATGCTGAGCATTGGTGATGATTCATGAAACAGTTCTTAGAGTTTGGCTTGGCGTGTGCTTTAAAGAGGATTGTTGTTAATAAACTGAGTCCCAGGAATGAGTGATTTTGCTAGAGATCACACGGCTCTCCATGGGCAGAACGATGATTTAACCCAGTTCACTTCTCTTTCCTCTGAACTGCACTATCTAGAAATAATGGTAGCATGGAGGCATATTTTTAATTAAATGCAATGGCTCACTCTTGAAGAAGAAGAAAAAAATCACTGTCTCTTTTGACTTAGGAAAAGCATGATTTTTAAGGCAAAATGCTCGTGTCTCCTGTAGGAATGGGAATGGAAACATTTTCTAGACAGAGACCCTAAGCAGCCTAGGGCTCACAGTCTGCAGGCATCTGAAATACAATGTTTCATCAGTCTGCTTTATAAAATGAAAAGCTGACCCCTGCCCAATCGGGCAGTCAGAGCCATAGGAGTCTGTGCCAAGTAGAACTGACTGCAGAGCCAGCTTTCAAGTAATTAAAAGATGAGTACATGTTCCTCTTTATATTGCTCTTGCTGATGAAAAGCAGCAGATGCTTTAGCAAAGATGATAGAAATGTAGCCCTCCCAGCAAGGGGGCCCGGGTATGTTGAGGAATAACTGGGCCACAGGTTATCCAGATGCTGCAGAACAGCTTCAAATAGGCCTGGGTGTTCGCACCCCAGTGATTAGGAGTTGACTGTACACTGTATCTAGAATAGTTTTCATGTTTAAGGCAGGCTTGAGTATCTTTTCAATCTGAGTACACAAGTTTGTCAAAAAATGTTTTTTTCGATGAGATACAAGCCCAGTAAAAATTTCCAAAGCTAAACATTTTCCTTTAGTAAGTCCTGAATGACTGTTTGATGGAAAACGAAAGAATGCTGGATTCGTGGAATTGAAATCCACAGCCCTCCGCGTCTTTGCCTCTTCCTGTCACCTTAGAGGAAGGGCACCTAGAGTGCTAATGGTAGGCTGTTCCAGAACTAGTCCAGCCACGCCCACTCGCACTAACCTGATGGGAGGAGAGTCAGGGTTTTCACGGGTCTTTAATTAAGAAAGTTGTTTTGCTAAAGCTTTAAATAACCAGTGTGCTGCGAGCCAACAGGGGCCACTTACCACCGGCATTGGGAAGGTCAAACCGGCACAGCATTTGCCCAAAGGCCAGTGAGTCCTTAAGGGTAAGAAGGACATCTTTCTCAATTATCCAAGACAAAGTTAAAATGGGTGTGAGTCTAATAATCACTAAAACTTTAGTTTATAACTAAATCAGTAAATCATCATACCGTGAGATTAACTCTTAGCTATTGAAGTGGTCAACGGATCTAGTTCTCCTTGTGTCCGGTCACATCGAGCGCTTAAATGACCTGTGTCTGAATACAGTTGGGGAGGATGGTAGGTTCTCGGTCGGGAGGCGGTAAACCCTTCCCTATAAAGAGCCAGACAGTGACTAGTTTGGGCTTTGTGGTCCATGGATTCTTTCCCATATAATTCTTCGATTGGAGGCAGGGGAGTACTTGTTTGCAACCCTTGAAAAATGTAAGAACCAGTCTTTGCTTGAGAACCGCACAAAACAGGCCATAGGCTAGATTTGTCTGACTCTGTTCTAAAGGCAACATTTTATGTGTGCGATATCCTTCAGTACTTCCCTGGAGACCCAAAATGACAAATTTCGTAGGCTCTGTCTGAGCTGGAGTGATAGACACTAACTGATAATCACATCTCTTTTGTTACCCCTTTTTCTAGCCAGTCTTTATTTTCTCCTTGTGCTGGGGTTAGAAGTCTCTGTTAGATACAGCAATCAGTTGGTATAGGAATGGCAGTGCCCAGTTTCAACATTTTTCCTTAAGTTAGAGGCTAAATGGAGAAAGAGGCCCAGCTGGGATGGAATAAAGCCCTCATTGGGAAAGGTCATTGATGAAGATCATCAATCACATGAAAGTTCAGACCCCCGAGAATGGCACCCAAGGCTCTTATACCTTCTTTACTTCTAGCGCCTCTCCTGTGTATGCTGTGTCCCTATCATTCAAGATAACTCTCAGAGCCCTAGATGGGCTGTGCTCACTCTCACTGATGGGGGGATCCTTCCACATGAAGTTTAAATCTCCATATCTTCCTTGGAACCTCTCATCTTACTGGGCAGAAACGTAGGCATCCCCACCTCTATGTTAACAGAGGACTTTATACACAAAGCACTTGAAAAGACAGGGGAATGTAGTCATCCAGTAGATGATATTACCTCTCAAGGGTGGGGGAACAGCTGTATCCCTCTCTGTAGCTTCGGGGATCTTCCTGTATATCTTTGGACCCATCACAGAGTTCAGCACGGAACCTCCCCGGCTTGTATGTGATATACAGTGTAACGTGGTGCTTATGTCTCTGGCTTGAAGTTAGACTGAGCTGAGGTCTTATCCTGGCTTCCCCACTTACCTGCTATGGGTTAAAGTTGCTAGGATAAATGAAATTTTCCTCTAGAAAGCATTCAGTTCAGGGTCTGACATGTAGTAACTGCTCAATAAATGATAACTTTTCTTTATTCCAGAGCCATTTATTGAGAACCCGCTATGCCCAGAATGATGCCTGATGATGGTCTAGGCCAAGCAGTGAACACGAGAGACATGGTCTCCATAGAGATGTGATCAGCAAGGTGGGATTATCAGGGTGATGTGGGAGCCTTAGACTGATGCTCCAGGAAACCTCTGAGAGAAGCAACATTTGAACTGCAGCTTTAATGATATTGATGAGCTCCTGTTTCATCAAATCTAAGATACCTTTGAAATACGCCATTTTTTCCTTCTCTTTTTTACATTCAGCATTATTTTGTGTTCATTTCAGGTGTACAGCATGATGGTTAGACAGTCATATACTTTACAAAGACCATTTTTTAAAAAGTTACCACTAAGAAAAGAAATGCTCTTAATAAAATTGACACCACCTCCTGTAAGATGTGTCTGTAAATTGTAAGAAAAAAAAAAAGGTATTTCTTAGCATCAATCAAATGCATTGATATTTATGCTCAGTATGTATCTGTTGTCTGAGTTAGTCTTACTCTATGGTTGATACAGGGTTCTGCTCCAAAGGTTTACATTGTAACTGAGTTTCTCTGTTTCCTAAGTTGGACCTGGCAAAGGGTTAAATAATGACATAGGACATGAAAGTAGTGTAAGACATTTGTGATCTGAGGTGTTTTTAAAAGTCTAAAACATTCCCTTTGGTCATGTGGATGAACACAGTGCATCAGTGACTCCTGTGTGAGTGACACTGACTGACACGTGCTTGGGAGGAGCGAGGTTGCCCGCACTCGCAGCCGGAGAGTTCCTGTCGGTCGCTGTCTGCAGAGATGTGTGCATCCTTCGCGCACATGAATGCCTTCCACGGGGCAATGAAGGCATTAGCTCAGAGCTCACTGCCTTCTGTTTTCTAGATTTAATTTACTATAAATATCTCAAGGGGCTGATCAGTCCTCCGAGCATGTAGGTCCTTTCTAACAGTGAGAATGGAGGGGCTCCATTTGGAGCCAGCCTCCTCCCCCACTCTGCAAGGCTCTGGGTCCTCACACTCCAAGCAGTGTTCTCTTCCAGTCCTTGCCCGCCCTCCACTTAGAGTTAGACACCATTCATGTCTTTGCTTTCTGACCGCCCTCTTACCTCCGAATCCTCCTCAAGATCGTTTTCTGCACCCAATTTGGAGTCTCTTGTCCCTCTTTCCACAGCTCCCCTCTGTCCAAGATTCTTTAACTCAGTTTCAGGTTGACTCACTGGGAGCTTGGACAGTACTTGGCTGTTTCTAGCTGTAATTAAGTGTGCTTTCATACTGTTTGGTTTAATTTCAACATGTCACCCATGTCACCGGGTGGCATGCTGGCCTCCATACATGGCGAGCATGCCCTTCCTAACACCCTCTCGGAATCTGTCTTTGGGGGCACTTTTCAGTTCTCTCTACCCTCTCCCAGCTCTGCGACTGAAGCCCCAGCAAAGTTCCCTCCTGTACCCTGCCTGCCGGGAGGGGTCAGGAGCCCATCGGTCCTTGGCCAAGGAGGAAGCAGAGTGCAGACCTTTTCCCTTCCAGAGCTACCTCCATCCTCCCTCCGCCTTCCCGTGTGACCGACCACCTCTTGCTCTAGGACGTTTTCAGAACTGACACCAGCTCTGGCAGAAATCTGAGTCTCTGGAAATGAGTAGATGCCAAGGAAAGGCCATTTGTAGGCATTGCCGGGTGCCTACTCCCCAGCATCCAGCCTAGGATGATGGAAGGCTGTCTCTGACCTGTGACCTGCAGGCTGGGCTGGAGGGGGCGGGGGGAAGATGGGAGGCTGAGAGCAGGGGGTGCCGGGGCTAATCCCAGGCCGTCCCAGAGTTCAGCTTCCCGTGGCTGCGTGATTACAGACAGTCCTCAAACACTGACATCTGCGCCTCTCTGATGTTCTGGGAGAGAGCAGAAACTATAATCTGGGGCGTAAGTATACGACCCTGTGTTTGTTCCCTTTAGCCATGTAACCCTGTTATTAGTTTAAGCATCTATGTTGCTAGAATATTATAGCTGCCTGAAAGAAGCATACGGGAGCTGGACTGTAACAGCTTACCATCGAAGTATTCAGGCGTCTCACGTTTATTTTAAATCAAAGGAATACATGAAGTAAGAAACATAAGGGTCAAAATCAGGAATATAGGATTACTGAGTGGGTATGAGAAGAGCATCTCGAGGGAGACACAGACTTTACAAGTTAATTTTTATAAAAGAAAAACCTTCCCTTATCAAGGGTGGAGAATGTCCAGCCCACAGGCCATATAAACCCTGAGAAATCAATACTAGCTAACATCACACGCCTGACCAAATACAGCAAGCTAATATTTAAGTTGACAATTTTGTGCGGCCGAGAGTGACATCATAAATGTGCACATGGCCTTGGCCGCTCTGGATCAGAGCTGGTGGCGAGTGCCTGGGTTAGGGTGATGGGGGAGGGCGTGGAGATGGGCGGGACAGGTGGGAGACTAGCGGATGAGCTGGCTAGGATGGGCCTGTCTGGGAAAGTGCTTGGGGAAGGATTTGGACACTTTTGGAATATAGTGGAGGAAAATCTTGGTGGTATTGGCTTTTCTCCACTTCTCTTCACTGCCTCTATAACATGCGTATCCCCGCTCCCCATAACAGTTGTTGAGATTCAAGTCTAAGGAATGCCATTTAATCACAATACTTAATGAACTCTGATCTTGAAACTGAAATAGCTAAGAAAGCAATGTGAAAATAATGTTTCTTTGGCATGCAGAACCCTCCCTGCGGCCCACAGGTGTACCCTATTATAATGAAACATTACCTTTAGCAGCCTAGAAGCCTACACTTTCAAAAAGTGTCAGTATTATGAAACACTCTTCTATTTTCTTTCTATCCTTCTTTTTAGAACTTAACCTGAGCCCTGGCCAGTTTGGCTCAGCAGTTAGAGCATTTACCTGCGGACCAGGGAGACCTGGGTTCAGCCCCCACTAAGGGCATGTACCTCGGTTGCAGTTTGTCCCCGGCCCCAGTTGAGGTTGTGTGGGTGGCAACCAGTCAATGTGGTTCTATCATGTTGATGTTTCTCTCTCTCTCGTTCTCCCTTTCTCCCTTCCGCTCTATCTGAAGATAAATTCAAAAATGTCCTCGGGTGAGGATTAAAAAAAAAAAAAAAAAACTTAGCCTGATACAAAGCAAATAATATGAAATTCTAAAATTTGAGTTGTGATGAGCTCCCTAATAGCAGCGCCTTTCAATATTCAAAATACCCCTGAGGAGCAAAACCAGCCTTGTTTTGCTTTATGGTTTATGGTCTGCCTTATCCAGATGCTAAACTGTCTAACCTAATACCTTGTTTGAGAAATTTCCCAATAGGAACTTTACAGGTATTTGTGTTTAACTTCTTATATGAATGAAAATGAGGATATATTCCTGTACTAGATAAAGACATAATAGCTAACCATAACTATTCTAAAACCTCCTCAGCTTGGGATTACTAATATATGCAGAAAACACTGTACAAATGTGCTGAAACATGCTCTTGACCGAGAAAACTCTTACTTGATACTTGCTATGTGTAATAGACATAGCAAGCCAAGCTGATGCTTTCTTTGCCTACTTATTGTAGCACTGGTTCAAACACTGCTTCTGTGATGTTAATTAGGGTGGAAATGGTATGCATGGAAGAGAAAGTCTGTTTTTCTAAGCTCTGAGTACTCAGAGTTGAAATGCATGGATAGACTGAAATGCAGTCTACATATGTTATTTGGAAATTATTGGAAAATGCCTTCTAAAATGGGGACAAAACATATAATAAAGATATTATAGGTTAACTTGCATAGTGTGTATGTATAGCACCTAGTATATAATAAGCACTTGATAAATAGTGGCTCTTTTGTTGTGGGGACTGGTGTCACACCTAAGTTCTGTTCCCTGCTGTAGATGGCTGGAACAGTAGCCAACATGACAATATCCTGGTGGCAGGAGAAGGCCCCTCAGTTTCCTGAGGTGAAAGTCAGTGATGAGAGAAAGGGAAGAGAAACACATTTTGTTGTTTGCTTCACTGTCGTGTAGACAGAGTGTTTATTACAGTTGGGAATTCAGATTAGAATTATTTATTCAACAAATAGAATTTCCTAAGTTCTGGGGATCGATCCAGTGATGAACAAAACAGACTAGATTTTGGGGGGGGGGGTGCTGTATAGTGAGAGCTTCAAAGACAAGAAGACAGGGACTGGGCAGGGTCGCTCCATTTGCCTGTGTGGTCAGAAAGGCCCGTGTGAACAGATAACATTGAGCCAAGGTTTAAATAACAAAGAAGGTTCCTGAGAAGATCCGAGGAAAGAACAGTCTAGGCAGAGAGAACAGACGTGGGGGCCCTGCAGCGGGGGACAAGCCCTGGGACTTGGGGACGAAGAAAGGCAGCTGTGTGTGAACAAGCAGTAGTAGGAGATGAGGCTGGGGAGGAGGCCGGGGCCTGGACTGTGTGGACCTTTATAGTAACAAAGGGCTCTGCCATGGCTTCAGTATGCCATGCAGAGCCACTGCTGGGGTTGTCGCAGGGGAGGGCACGTGTGCCGAATGCCCCGCGTCGCCTGGGCAGAGCAGTTGGGAAGGTGTGGCCGAGGAACAGGGTGCTGCACAGGGCGGGGAGACCGGGTTGGTTGGCACTGGGGTGCCCGCGAGGCAGTGCAGGCAAGGAGTCGATGGGACTTCGGAAGCAGCGTGGCCATTCTTCTTCGCTTTGTCCCCCCTGCTTACCAGTCTCCACCCTTTGCCTCCACTGGCCGCTGTCTACGGCTCTCAGGAAAGTAAGCAGGGCAGCGTGTGCCGGGAGGGGTCAGCCACCTTCCCGCACGCCTCCAGCGCTGAGTCCCTTCCTTCCTGCCCCTCGGCGGTCCCCGTCCTTGTTCCCCGCTCCTGTGAGGTGCTATTTTCTATCACCAGGTAGTTGTCCCCCTCCCCTCACTAGACTCTGAGCTCCTGGGTGCAAGTGATTGAACAAAATAATTTTTTGTCTAATCATTGAAATGAGCTTCCTGAAATTCAGGCAAAAATCTCAGTTTTCACAAATTAGTTGAAGAAAGGAAATTCTGAGCAGTCAGCTAAATATTTTAAAAAGAAGAAAGAAGGGGGGGGGGGTAGAAGAAGGAGGAG